TCTTCTAATTTTGTCAAGATTTGGGTTACATTCTTAGTATTCTTGGGTCATGTTGTGGTCTACGTGGGTTATGTAGTTGAACTTTCACTTAGGCCATCACAAGTTTTGATGGGCGATGTTTTTTTGAGAAAGAAGAGCTGGTAGGATACCGTTGCTGCCGCTGCCGCCGCCTCCGCCGAATTATTTAGTTAATCTTAAGTTAATTTTAAGCCTGCCCATAATGCTCTGCATACAAGGGGCTCTGGCTTGTTACACTTAACCCCTGTATTTCTTTGTACTTCTATGTATCATGTTCAAATTAATAAATAAATAAAAAATGCCGGAAGAAAGGGGCTAGCAACTTCTTCTGTATGCATTACTAAATTTATAGAGAGAAGCTTTCGTTTTTGTCTTTGGGTCACCTGGCTTCAGTAGGATATGACCGGTGTGTTGAAAGATGAAGGTATAAGAATAAAAAATTAATAATTTTCAATTTTATTTTGCAGATCATCTTGGCACCAGAGACTGGCACTTGTAGTGTCAATAATGCAGATCATCTTGGCACCAGAGTCTGGCACTTATAGTGTCAATACTGCAGATCATCTTGGCACCAGAGACTGGCACTTATAGTGTCAATACTGCAGATCATCTTGGCACCAGAGACTGGCACTTATAGTGTCAATACTGCAGATCATCTTGGCACCAGAAGCTGGCACTTGTAGTGTCAATACTGCAGATCATCTTAGCACCAGAGACTGGCACTTGTAGTGTCAGTACTGCAGATCATCTTGGCACCAGAGACTGGCACCTGTAGTGTCAGTTCTGCAGATCATCTTGGCACCAGAGACTGGCACTTGTAGTGTCAATACTGCAGATCATCTTGGCACCAGAGACTGGCACTTGTAGTGTCAATACTGCAGATCATCTTGACACCAGAGGCTGGCACTTGTAGTGTGAATACTGCAGGTCATTGTGACACCTGAGACTGTCACTTGTAGTGTCAATACTGCAGATCACCTTAGCACCGAAGGCTGGCACTTGTAGTGTCAATACTGCAGGTCATTGCGACACCAGAGACTGGCACTTGTAGTGTCAATACTGCAGATCATCTTGGCACCCGAGGCTGGCACTTGTAGTGTGAATACTGCAAGTCATTGTGACACCTGAGACTCTCACTTGTAGTGTCAATACTGCAGGTCATCCTGACACCAGAGACTGGCACTTGTAGTGTCAATACTGTAGATCATCATTGCACCAGAGGCTGGCACTTGTAGTGCCAACATCAGTGTTAGAAACCTTCTGAAAGTTCTATTAAGTATATATGGTGACAACACTATCTACAGTGTTAATACAGTGACAGTGTTGTCACACTATTTATAGTGTTAATATAGTGACAGTGCTATCACATTATCTGCAGTGTTAATAGTGACAGCACTGTCTACAATGTTAATAATACAGTGTTAATAGTATAGTGACCACTATGGTGATAATACAGTGACCACTACGGTGTTAATGCAGTGACCACTACAGTGTTAATAATAGGTACAGTGACCACTACAGTGTTAATAATACGTACTTTGACCAATGTAGTGTTTATAATACCGTGACCACTGCAGTATTAATAATACAGTGATCACTACAGTGTTAATAATACAGTGACAATAACTATAGACTATTACAGTGACAATAACTATAGACTATTACAGTGACAACACAACAGTGTTATAACACAGTGAGAACACTAACTACAGTATTAATAATACAGTGACTAACTACAGTATAAATAATATAGTAACAGCTCTACTTCGCTGTTAATTATACATTGACAACAATAACTACAGTGGTAATACAGTGGCAACACCATAACAGTGTTGGTAATGCAACATTTACAGTACCAACAACACTTTTATAAGGTTAACGTGTCATAAACACTGAAATATCTGCTAGAGTCACCCTATTCCTTAGTCACTATACAGTGGTACCTTGAGTTTCGAACATCTCCCAATTCAAACAATTATGTAAGTGTATTTTTGTGAGTGTTTTTGTAAGTGTATTTTTGGGGGTCTGAAACGGACTAATCTAATTTACATTATTCTTTATGGGAACAAATTCGTTCGGTATCGGCACTTGAACAGCCTTCCGGAACAAATTAAGTTTGTAACTTGGAGTATCACTGTATTACCCTTACAGGTTTAGTGCTTGCTATATTTATAATATTACAGAAATATTAGTTTTCCGTGTAATGATCTCAGATTCTTCTCTAGTTAAATATTCACTTGAAAAAACGTGTTGAAGCCACACATTCACACTAAAACAATTTTCATAACATCTCTGCCCACATTTATTATAGACAAAAAACAACAACAACAGTTTTCTGAAAAATGTGATTTAGTATGACACGTGAGAACTCATACAGGAAAGAAGCCTTATCAATGTTCAGAATGTCTGAAAGACTTACTGAAAAGTCTGATTTTGTAAGTCACACTACAACTAATACTGAAGAGAAACCGTATCAGTGTTCATATTGTTTGAAAGACTTTTCTAGAAAATCACATTTAGTAAGTCACATGAGAACTCATACTGGAGAGAAACCACATCAGTGTTCAGAATGTTTGAAAGATTTTTCTGAAAAATCAAGTTTAATAAGACACATGAGAACTCATACTGGAGAGAAACCATATCAGTGTCCAGAATGCCTGAAAGATTTTTCTCAAAAGTCTGATTTAGTAAGTCACATGAGAACTCATACTGGAGAGAAACCACATCAGTGTTCAGAATGTTTGAAAGATTTTTCTGAAAAATCAAGTTTGATAAGTCACATGAGAACTCATACTGGAGAGAAACCATATCAGTGTTCAGAATGTCTGAAAGACTTTTATAGAAAATCAAATTTAATAAGTCACATGAGAGTCCATACTGGAGAAAAACCACATCAGTGTCCAGAATGTCTGAAAGACTTTTCTCGTAAGCCTGATTTAGTAATTCACATGAGAACTCATACTGGGGAGAAACCATATCAGTGTTCAGAATGTCTGAAAGACTTTTCTAGAAAATCACGTTTAGTAAGTCACATGATAACTCATACTGGAGGGAAAACATTTCGGTGTTCAGAATGTTTGAAAGACTTTTCTCAAAAGTCTGATTTAGTAAATCACATGAGAACTTGTACTGGAGAGAAATCATATAAGTGTTCAGAATGCATGAATGACTTTTCTCAAAAAACCACAATTAATACGAATCGTTCCTGGAATATACCTGGAGAGTGTTTCAGGGGGTCAATGCCCCATGACCCAGCTCATGATGAGGCCTTGGGGTGATTCAAGGTCTGACCAACTAGGGTGTTACTGCCAGCCACATGCAATCCATTGCATGAACCACAACCATATTGGTAAGGTACTGACTTTAGGTGTCTGTCCAGCTGTTGAAGACAGCCAGGTGTCTATTGGTATTCCCCCTTATGTATGCTAGGAGGCAGTTGAAACTATCCTGGGCCCCTGACACTTATTGTGTTATCTCTTAGTGTACTCATGGCACCTTGCTTTTTATTGGAGAGAGACTGCCTGCTGAGTTTTTTTTTTTTTTTTTTTTTTTTTTTTTTTTTTTTTTTTTTTTGTAGGAAACGATTTCTGTGTACAGATTTGGGACTAGTTCCTCTAGAATTTTTCATGTAAAAATTATGTATCTCTCTCTCACCTGCATTTCAAGGAGTACAGGTCAGAGGACTTCAGATGTTCCCAGTAACTGACCTCTTTATTGTACTTATGGATGCAGTGAAAGTTCTCTGTATATTCTCCAGATATGCAATTTTGCTTATCTTGAAAGGGGCCATTAGTGTCCAGTAACACTCCAGCCTAGAGAAAACAAGTGATTTGGAGGGAATGATCACTGGCTTGTCATCATTGGTTTGTGACAATAGTATTTTTGATCAAGGAAGAAATTAAATAAATTTCAACAGTTAGATTGAAGTGGTTTCTAGTGTTCTTTTGGAGTTGATGCAAGCACTGTAACTTAAATGAAGGAATTCAGAGAAACTGGTTAACTGGACCCGAATACTGAAGTGGAAAGTACAGTGTCTGTATTCTGGAGCGATGGGGATGTTGTAATTTAGAGGGTCTTTGAATTGTGATGATCATGTATTTCTTGCCAAAACAATAACAGTAACAGCAAGCAGCAGCAGCAGTAGCAGTTAGTAATAGTAGTATTTGTAGTTTGTGTTTCAATTAAGTTGTTTAACTTATGTTTTGTGATAAATAAGCAAGTCACAGGTTATAATAAATTCACTGAAAAATTAGACAGGAAACCTAATTAATTTACCATCATTTATATACAAAAAGCAACTTATATGCTGTCACACTATTGCAACGTGTTCAACAAAGCATTAGAATCTGCAACTTTGATAGTGATGCTTAAGATAGCAAAGAGTTACCTCAGTACACAATTGAGGTAATCCAACTGGGGTAAATAATTATAGGACAATATCCAACCTGGCATTACTCTCAAAATTCTTTGAAAAATAGTTCATAAGCAAGTTTACTCCTTCCTAGTGTTTCACAATATACTCAGCCTTTGCCAGTTTGGTTTTAGGCCAGAAAATAGTACAAATATGGCAGTTATAAAAATGCTTGATCTGCCTTATGCAGTTCTTGAAAATAAATGAATATCCTTTGGACCTCTTCATAGACCATAACTGGTTACACAGCCATACATAACTGTAGGCCTGATCAGTTAGGTGGTGGTACTAATATCTACTACTATGATGAGTCAGAATATTAAATCTACATGCACCAGGGATGAGGATGGTGATTTTTTTTTTTTTAACACGCTTGCCGTCTCCCACAGAGACAAGGTGACTCCTCAGAAAAAGAAATATTTTCACCACCATTTACACTATCACTGTCTTTGAAGAGGCGAGCACATATGACAGTTTAGATGTCTCTCTAAACAACAAATATCCAAATCCCTTATTTAAAATGCAGGCATTGTACTTCCCACCTCCAGGACTCAAGTCTGGCTAACCAGTTTTCCTGAATCCCTTCACAAAAAATTACCCTGATCCACACTTCAACAACTCATCTGGTTCCAAAAGCTATTCCTCTCCACTCACTCCTATCTAACATGCTCACACATTCCTGCTGTATGTCCAAGCCCCTTGCATACAAAACCTCTTTTACTTTATCCTTTCTTAGGACGACCATTACCCCTCCTTCCCTTCACTACAGATTTATACTCCCTCCGAGTCATCATATTTTGCTCCATCCTCTAAATGACCAAACCACCTCAACAACCACTCCTAAGCTCTCTGAATAATACTTCTCTTCAAGAGGGGCTCCTTTGCATGGTGAAGAGGCTCTTGGTCTGAGGAATTAGACCTGTTGGTCTCCTTCCTCAGACCGAACCTAATTACCCCCCAATCCCCCCTCCCGTATCCCATCCTCCCTTTTTCTTTTCCTCCTCCTCCTCCTCACCCCTCCCTATTACCCTTCCTTCTTTATTTTTTTTTTTCCACAGGCACGCTAGTTCCTGGGTAGGGGAAAGGGTACTGGGGTCCATCCCATTCCTTTGAGGTTCTTGGCGGTGTAGAGTTTGCCGTGGAATCTGGATCGCCTGGGGATGTCCCAATCCCTCTCCGGTCTCCCGGGGAGTGGCTTTGGGTATCTTTCAGGCAACGGGTGTATCTCTGGAGGCTGGCTTTGGGATTCCGGGGGTGGTGGCCAAAGGAGGTATGCTTTGTGGCAGATATCCAGCCGCCCTCTCTTTTGTCCACCGGGGTAGCGCGGCAGATGTGAGGTTGCTATCCCGGATTGTTGGTTAACTGGCAATGATGGGTAGGGTTTGGCACGGGTTCCATGCTGCATCTGCACTACTTGCGGTGCTGAGGTCCTTTTGGGGTGCGGAGGGAGCTTTCTGGCCTTCATTCTCCCAAGAACTATCCCTCCCCAGTCCCCCTTTTTTTATTCTTTTTTTTTTTTTAATTTTTATTTTTTTCTTTTCTTTTTTTTTTCTTAAAAGCAAAAACAAAAAAGTAACCTAACCATGGAACCCCTAGTCCATGAACTGCTACCCCCAGGCCCCTTCTTGATATGCACCCCGTTCTGACCCGCCTCGTCTTTGGACCACTCTTCGGACACTCCTAATGCCTCTTTTACCTCTTGCCGGTGCTGTTTTCCTCACCTGCTTCAGGTACTGAGGGCTCGACTGACTCCTTCAATTTATCTGACCTCCACTCTCCTTTGACTATGCTTCTGGCCTCTCCCTCTACGGTTTCGGCAATTTTTTGAATCGCCAGCCCGTTCCACGTCGGACTAACTCTGGTCCCACTCCTAAACGCCAACGACAATTACCTGCTGATGATACTTCTCCACCTTCTCATTCTTCTCAGAAAAGATCGACCGTCCTACACTCCCTTTCCCCGCTCAGTTTCAGAATGCACAATGGACTAAATTTTCACTTTATGACTGACTTCCTCGATTGCCTATCTTTCCGACCATAGTATTGGCAAGGCACTCCTACGCCATGTTGGTAAAGTTATTTCTTTTCATGCTCTTAAGAGCGGTCGCACATCATCCTGTACAGAATGCTACCCAAGCTCATGATCTTTCTCTTCTTTCCCATATCGATACTGTTCCTGTCACTATTGAAAAACATCATTCCTTCAATTCTTTTAGTGGTACCGGGCATTCTGCCCCATACCATAGTTCACAAAATTTCCAGACATTTTGGCAATGACATTCTTGAATAGCTGGAACTCCAAGATCTCCCAATCCTCAAGGTAGACACTTTTTGTTCTTCCTGCCCGCAGGCGGAGATGTACCCTAGCAATATGGCTCGTTTAACTTTTGACAGCCGTGAACTCCCATCCTCAGTTTATGTAGCAGGGCATTGGTTACAAGTTCGAAAGGTGATCCCTACCACCGCAACAGTGTAGAAATTGCTGGCGATTTGGCCATCCAGTGAAATATTGCAGATCTATAGCCGAATGCCCAGTCTGTGGTGCCGATGACCATTCTAATACGTCTTGCAATCGACCTCCCTCTTGCCTTAATTGTCATGAGGCTCACCCTTTGTACTCTCGCCATTGCCAAGTCTGCTTAAATGAGCGGGAAATCCATTACCTCAAAGATGTTGAAGGTCTTTTCCCATGGCAGTTTCTCATCTCCGCCTCCAAGGGAGAAGGGAGACTACCTCGTGTTTCTTATTCCCGTGTTTCAAAATGTCCCCCCACTTCTGGGGTCCCATCTTCTGCAGCCTCCTCTGTGGTTACCTCTCCCATAGTCACTCTTGTATCTAATTCTTTTGCTGTCCTGGGCTCAGACCCCCCTACTTCAATGCCTCAGTCTGTTCTTGCTTCTTCGTGTTCTCCCTCACAAGCCTCGGTATCGACGAGATCTTGTACGACACCTCCCAATCGTCCCTCTACTTCTCAGAAGTCAAAAAAAGTCCTTTAACCCCTCCTTTCCCCTTCTTCCACCTCCTCATTTTACCTTCCCTGTCTCTGTACCTGGTTTTTCCCCTCCCATGGCTCTGTTACAAGTGTAGAGGTTCACCCTCCTCCTTGTACTGTACCTTCCTCCCTGTTCCTCCCAAGTTTTTTCCCTCTTCTGCCACCTCCCAGGTTTCTGCCTCTGTCCCCTTCCACGCTTCTTCTCCAGTTCTCTCCACCCTTTCTGTCCCCCCCTACCTTGGGGTTACAGCATTACAGTTCCAATCTTTTCCCATCCTCCCCCTACCATCTCCAATATTGTCTCCCATACTACGTCTTTGAATTCCGAAACACTTGAAGTAATCTCTGAAATATATTGCAGAGACCAAACCATCAATGGACACTGATCCACCCTCTGTTCCTTCTCTCTCCTCCCCATCTGCGCAATCCTTTTTTTTGCAGCGCACCGTTCCTTCGCTGCTTGAACGTTTTCCACTCCCCACCGCAGTGGTTTTTCAAAACCCCTCTAGTCTGTAGGAACCCTTACCTGCGATTTCAGGTATCTTTATCGTTGCCAATCATGGCCTATTTACAGTGGAATATACACGGCCTCGGGTAATCGAGGTGAGCTTCAGATGTTACTCTCCCAGTTTTCCCCGTTGGTGTTTGCTTACAGGAACCAAAATTACTCTCTGCTGTTATCTCTCCCATCTCAGGCTATAAAATTTTTTGTATTCTTCAGATCCTTTTCCTGATGGGACCTTTTTAAAGAAAGTGCCCTTTTTCTACACATGATATTCCGTACCATCAGCTATTTGTTCGTACTTCGCTGCATTACACAGCAGCCCGTATCCCTTGCATAGGTGGTATACGCTCTGTTCTTTATATCTCTCTCCT